TGTTCTTCTATGTTTAATGGGTTCCTAATGCTTAATTTTAGGTTAGACAACAAATGATCAAATTAGGGAATTAGGAACACAAGGTTATGACCACACACCATGGCTTAATCATACTTTAGCTAGAATCAATCCATTAATCTAATTGAACTTGGGAACTTATTTGCTTGAGTTACTTATTTCTTTCTTCCTTGTTTTATGTTCTTTGTTTTTGTTTCTATTTTGTGTAGGGAAACTAAATTGGATCATTCAATCACCAATCCCTGTGGAATCGACCTCGCACTTACATACGCTAAACTACCAACGGTTCGTGCACTTGCGAGTATCACAAGTTGAGGATGCAGCTTAATCCATTTTGGTGGAGCTAAATCTACGCAACATGAGCCACATCAACAAAATTCTCTCCAATAGACTTGTCAAACTCAGTCACCAAAATTGCAACCCATTTATCTTTTTTTTAGAACTCAAAGTTAAAATTGGCTCTTATAAATTATGAACATTTTTTATATATATTGTAGTAAGCCCAAACTAGGTTAAGATGAAGGTTTGATTATCCAAGAACAGAAGAAAGGAAGGGAAGAGAGAGAGAGAGAACAGAGAGATCAATAGAAGAAAGAAATCAAAGCTTCTGTATATTTCTCAATAAATTTGAAACAGTATAATTGTAAGCTTATATATTCTTAGCCTTTGCTTACTGATTAAGCACTATAGTTGATTAGGTTTTCTGACTTTCTAATCACTTCACATGTCAGCACATGGCCTTACAATTTGCAAACAGCCTTGACTAATTACTAATTAATCTCAGCTTAACTCTAACATGTAGATTATATAAGAAAGTTTAAAGCTTATGTTTGATTTGCTTGCCTACATCTATACGTTGGTTACTGCAGAAAGCAGAGAAGAGGCTGCAGCTGTTAGCAATATTATCAACTATCTGGCACTATACCACCAATCAAGCCATCAAAAACGCACATTATCAAGTATCTGGCACTACACCACCCAATCAAGTCATCAAAAACGCCTAAATTGATGTATATTTCAATTCCTAGTTCCAATCATGTTAAAGAAACCAAACGAAGAAGGAAAACACTGAAAATGAAGAACTGTTTTTTTTTTTTTGGGTTTTATCTCGGTTTTAAATTTAAGGGCATTTAAGTATTTTTTAATTGCATTTTTTGCTATATTTGAAAGTTTTTATGAAAATGGACATTTATATATTTAAGGGGTAAATTTGAGCTATTTATGATAAAAACTCTTCGTTTAGCTCGTTTATAATTCGTCTCCGTGCATGTTCATGAAACAAAATCCCTAAGAATTTTCCTTAAGAAATTGCCTAGCGAAAAAAAAAAAGAAAAAAAAAAAAAAAAAAGAAGACGATATTAATAAGGTGGCAAAGAACTTTGAAAAATCGAGTGCAAGTCCTAATGTACCCCCATTGAATGTAGAACTTATCCTCTACCAACTTATACCTCACTCCAAAAGTGCCTTTATCATCCCTCTTTTTTTTTTTTTTTCTGTTTTTTTTCTTTTGATAGGGAACAAAAAGTGCATTTGTCCTGGATATCTCATTTCCATTATTTGCAGAGTCATTTACTTTTTTTTTGGGTTTAATCTACATGCTAGTTGCGTTTTATCCGATTTCCTAATTTAGTCTTTGTGTTTATAATTCGGTCAATTTGCTTCTAAATTTATTTATGAAAGCCAATGTAGGATATTTTGACATTAAGTAACGCTTTTGAAGTTAAGAAAAATGCTAAAACCGGCGAATATGGTAAAATACAACGACTAAAATGCATGAAAAACATCAGTTAAAAAATTTAATTGGTTTTGCTTTTTTCACACTAATTCAACGAAATGTTACTGTGGAGACAAATTCATGACCAAACTCAGACCAAATTCACAAGAACTAAATGGCAAATATGATAAAAGTACCAAAAAGGGCTTCATATTTTCCTTATATCACATTACCGTAATTGTGGTAATTATTTAGAAATTAGGATTTAAATATCCTAATTCGGACACTATTTTCACTTCGAATAAATAAAGAAAACAAAAAGAAAAAAGAGGTAAAAAAAGTCAACCAAATCCTTAATTGGTAAATTTGGCAATCTCCAAATATTGAATCAGAACGCAGACAGAGACCAACCCCACAAATATTGAATTTGGTATTCTCCTGTCAATAGAAGTAGAGCCCATCACGTGCGCGTAAAGAACTCTTGTCACTATTGGCACGTGGCCACATATTTATATGGCAAATTGGCAATTGTTTTTCTCTTTGGTCAAGATTTACACACCGAACTCTGAGACTAATAAAAACATGCAAGATTTGATGGGGTGGGTGCTGTGCGGTGATCTTTAGGCTGCTCTTTTGCTCTGCAAGATGGATGATGCTTCGTCCCAAATAGACTCTAATTCTCTTCCTGTCTTCGTCACCAGAATTTATTAGGGTTTAACAAGTAAGTTACTCTCTCCTTAACCCAAAGTTTTCATTTTTATCAATTTAGTACACTGTTCATTGTTTATTGTTTTCTTATCCGACTAGCCCCACCTTAAGCGCGCACACGCTCTCTCTCTCTCTCTCTCTACAGAAAAGTCAATATTGTCTTGCTTTTTACTTATAGAGCCCTGATTTTGTTATTCTTCTTGCTGGTTGTGATAAATTTGGTTTCAGATGATAAATGGTAGTAGTTTTTGGGAATTCTGAAGTTTCCAGTGATTGAATGATGTGTTTCTTCAAAGTTTTTTTTTATGGTGTCGGTAAACTGAATCTCGTCGTCTAAAACAAATTGGGGAAGTGGGTTTTTGATTTCATAGCGAGGTTGATTTGGAGGGTTTGGGGTCTGCGTTTTTTTAGATGGCCACCACTTCGTTTGAGTTGGAGGATCAGACAGACGAGGATTTCTTTGACAGATTGGTTAATGATGACATTGATTTTACTGGAAATGTGCCTAGTTCTGTACAAAACAGTGAACCTGACGAGGTCAAAGCTTTTTCAAAATTGAGTATTTCAGAAGCCGGTTCTCTAGGAGTAGACATCAGCGGCTATGGTGGTTTTGGGGTTAATGGTGAATTGGGTCATGAAGATAGGGTTGTGTTGGAATCGTTGGATCCACTTCAGGACCCTGTAGAAGTTGTTAAAGAAATCAAGTCACCGACACCTGATTCTAAAAATGAGTTCATTGCATTGAATGATATAGCCGATAATGGAAATGAGGCTAGGGCATTGGAGGATAAAGCAGATGATAGAAATGAGGCTAGTGCATTGGATGATAAAGCCGGTAATGGAAATGAGGCTAAGGCACTGGAGCATAAAGGGGAGGAAGGTGTGGTAGATGGGGCAGGGAGTACTAGTATTTTATCAGCGGAAACTGGTGTGAAAGTAGTTCAATGGAGTTCGTTTAACTCGGATTTGAAACCTTCTGCTGGGAACTCGGATTTTTTCAGTGAATTTGGAGATTACTCGGAAGACCCATTTGCAAATTTGGGTAATACAGAAAAATATTGGGCTGAGTCTATGGTCACTAGTGGTGTTTTGGAGAACTCAGTTGCTGATTTAGGTGCTTCTAGTTACGCGCAGAATCAAGAAGGTCAGCCTTGTGGGGCTATTGAGGAACAAAATTTAGATGGGGAGGACTTGAATAGTAGTCAGAATTGGGAAAATCTTTACCCGGGATGGAGGTTGGATCCAAATACTGGGCAATGGTATCAGTTGGAGGGTTACGATGTGAGTGCCAATACAAATACAGATGTGAACATTAATGCAAATGCTCAAGAGAGTTTTAATGTGAATTCTCATTCTGTAGATAATGTGGTTTTTTCAGACCAGAAAGAAGATGCTTATTATTTCCAGCAACCAGCGCAGTCTGTTTCTCAGAGTGTGGCCCAGGGAAGTGAAACTAGCACTGGTTCTAACTGGAATGAGCATTCTCGCGGGAACACAGATTACCCTGCACATATGGTTTTTGATCCCCAGTACCCCGGGTGGTACTATGATACAATTGCCCAAGAATGGAAGCAGTTGGAGTCTTCTGCTCCAGCTTCTGATCAGTCATCAAGTGTGGAGCATAATCAGCAATATCACAATACCAATGTTGAGAATCATGGGTCACAGAGTCTGCTCAATGAACAAGATGTTGCAAACTGGGGTGGATCTATGAGCACCTACGATCAGCAAAGTGCGAGTATGTGGCATACTCAGAATGTTGCCAAGAGCGACACTATTAGTTTTCCTGAGAAACAGCAGTATGCAACCCAGTATTTTTCAGCCGAGCATGTAACTAATTCTGTGAATCAACAAACAGGATTCAATCCTTCTGGATCAATTGCTCTTAATGAAGAGGTAAGTCATGGCTATGGTATCAGTGGTGGGGTTGGTGGGTTTGAAAGCTTTCATCCTGCAGGAAACTTTTCTCAGCATCAGAATCAAGCCAAGGAGCCAAACCAAGTGATGAGTTTCTCACCTGCTAACTTTGATTGTCAGAAGCCAGTACATTTTTCACAGCAGCCAGTCCAGAGTGGAAGTCAGTTTTCTCATGAGGCCAGTATGGGGAGGTCATCTGCAGGACGACCTCCACATGCTCTAGTTACTTTTGGATTTGGTGGGAAACTTATAGTCATGAAAGATAATAGTTATTCTCCTGCAAACATGACATATCAAAGCCAGGTCAGGCCTTACTTTCTGACTTCAATTTCCCGAGAGACATACCTCCATATATATATATATATGTGTGTGTGTGTGTGTGTGTGTGTGTAATATATATGTAGATGCGTACATGTCTATACTGGTATGTCTGGTGTTGGCATAAATGCTGTAATAGGCCCTAATTTCTTTTCCCTTTCAATTTGTAATGTGAAGGACTCTGTAGGAGGTGTGATTAATGTTCTCAATCTGATGGAAGTTGTTGTAGACAAAACTGATGCTGCTAGCTTTGGAACTGGTTGTCATGATTATTTCCATGCATTGTGCCAACAATCTTTTCCTGGCCCCTTGGTTGGGGGCAATGCTGGAAGTAGGGAATTAAACAAATGGATAGATGACAAGATTGCAAACTGTGAAACTACTTGCATGGATTTCAGAAAGGGGGAGCATTTGAGGTTGCTTTTCTCTTTACTAAAAATAGCATGCCAATATTATGGAAAACTTCGATCTCCCTTTGGCACTGACCTGGCATTGAAGGTATTTTTTTTGGTTTGTAAAACTGTTTATTTATGACCTGTTTGACTGTTTGGACGCCATATCACATTTTAATTGTACTTCAGTCATACTAGCCTCTCCGCACGCTCTTCCGCACCTGCGAGAGGCTTTTAAAAAAAAAAAAAATTTAGAATTAAAAAAGATAATGGCTAGTTGTGTTGCATAAAAATAGGATCCATTATCTGCTTTTTCTTTTAATTTAAAATTTTTAAATATGAAAAAGTGTGAATTTATCATATTATCCTCATTTAATTAATAATTTCAATTCTTAATGTTTGCATTAACCAAGGGTATTTTCTGGTATTTTGAATGTTTTACCATTCTCTGCCTTTTGCTTTATATATATAGATATATAGATAAATCAAAACCTGGGCATTTCATGAGCACGTAGATTTAATTCTATCACATTAATTATGCTGGTTTTACATCTTTCTTGATGGGGCGTGTTCAGTAGACAGATTTTCAAATTAGAAATTTGTATTGATATTGATAACTTGCTCTTAAATTTAAATGCTACAGAATGGCCCCTCAGTTATATTTAAATAACCATATGGCAGTGTAATAAGCATATAGATTAAAAACTTGCAATTCTATAAATCTGGTGTTTTCATCATTAGAAATTTAGAATTCTACTGATGGCTTGATTCTACTACCTGTTATTAGTGTTTTATCTTCCTATGTGGTCCTCTCCTTCCTAAATTTATTGCAGTCCATGATTTCATATGAACTTGGAATTCTTTTTGTTTTTTGTTTTTAGGTGTGAGTTTAGTTTGGTTTAAAATATCTGTTTCAACCCTAAATCCTTGCAATTTATTGATTCATTTGAAGATTGAAATTGCAGAGATTTTCTTTATTTATTCAAGAGCATCTACCAGTTCTCCGGTTGGTATGGTTATTAACCACTTTTGTTATCATAAAATTAGGAAACTGATAGTCCAGAGTCAGCTGTTGCTAAGCTTTTTTACTCTGCTAAGAAAAGTAACGAGCATGGTGCTGTTATGTGCTGCTTACATAACTTGCCTTCTGAAGCACAGAGTCAAGTATGTCATATTCTCTCTCTCTCTCTCTCTCTCTCTCTCTCTCTCTCTCTTTATGTATATATATATGTCTATCTTACTCTCTCTCTCTCTCTCTCTCTCTCTCTCTCTCTCTCTCTCTCTCTCTCTCTCTCTCTCTCTCTCTCTCTCTCTCTCTCTCTCTCTCTCTCTCTCTCTCTCTCTCTCTCTCTCTCTCTCTCTCTCTCTCTCTCTCTCTCTCTCTCTCTCTCTCTCTCTCTCTCTCTCTCTCTCTCTCTCTCTCTCTCTCTCTCTCTCTCTCTCTCTCTCTCTCTCTCTCTCTCTCTCTCTCTCTCTCTCTCTCTCTCTCTCTCTCTCTCTCTCTCTCTCTCTCTCTCTCTCTCTCTCTCTCTCTCTCTCTCTCTCTCTCTCTCTCTCTCTCTCTCTCTCTCTCTCTCTCTCTCTCTCTCTCTCTCTCTCTCTCTCTCTCTCTCTCTCTCTCTCTCTCTCTCTCTCTCTTTATGTATATATATATGTCTATCTTAAATTTGGTTTTTAATTATGGGTTTCCTTTTTGGCTATAGAAATTTATCAGTACCTTCCGTAATGAATATATGTTATTGCTTTAGGCTACTGCTCTTGAGGTACAGAAGCTTCTTGTCTCTGGTAGGAAGAAAGAGGCTTTACAATGTGCACAGGAAGGTCAGTTGTGGGGTCCAGCACTGGTCATTGCATCGCAGCTTGGTGATCAGGTTATCAAAAACATTTTTTTTTATCAAAACATACCAAGGAAACGTGTCTGTTCTAATTTCAGACTTTGTTCTTTATGCTAATGTTTGTTCGCTTTGTTCATTATTGCATGCAGTTTTATGGTGATACTGTGAAGTATATGGCTCTAAACCAGTTAGTAGCAGGATCACCATTGAGGACGTTGTGCTTGTTAATTGCCAGGCAGCCTGCAGACGTGTTTTCCAATGCCACTACAGATAGCAATCTACCTATGAATATATCACAACAACATACACAGGTGATTTACAAATTCGGTTATTTTGTGCAAAAAAAAAAGGGTTATCTCTTTGTGTCGTAAAAAAGGGTTATATCTTCAGGCTAAGACCTGGGACTCCCTTTTTTTCTACTTGTAAATTCATTTTTTGCTTCTCTACTGAATAGAACACTGAAACGGCATGTGTGTAATAGTCATGATCCTATGTTATTGAAGTTCCTTGTATATTTTTGTCTAAGATATTGATTATTTCCTTACTACAGATTGGGGCCAATTACATGTTAGACGGATGGGAAGAGAATTTAGCCATCTTAACTGCAAACAGAACAACAGATGATGAGCTTGTTATCATCCATCTTGGAGATTGCCTATGGAAGGAAAGGGGCCAGGTATTTTGTCTGTTTCTTGGGTTGAGTTCCTTTTTATTTTTATGCCTTGAAAAGATGTTATCTTCTCTGGTTTTATCCTGACTGGAAAGCAATTGCGCAGAACACTGCTGCACACATATGTTATTTGGTTGCAGAAGCAAACTTTGAGCAATATTCAGACAGTGCAAGACTGTGTCTTCTTGGTGCGGATCATTGGAAATTTCCACGAACATATGCCAGTCCTGAGGCTATCCAGGTGGTCTACACTCCATTTTTTGATATGCAAGTTCACTAACTGATGCATGATTTGCTTACACTTATGATTGACATGTACTGATCGTTCTACTCATTGTGTTGTGGAGCCTCCAAAAGTTTTGTTTTCATAGTTCCTCTGTATTTGGTCAGAAGTATGTGGCAGTCTGCTTTTGGAGAATGTAGCATAACCGTTTGAAAGCAGAAAATGTTTCACTGTATTATTATTGTTGCTAATTATTATTGTTATTTTGTTGTTATTGTTGTTTTCATTATTGTTATTACTATGGCTGTTCTTTTTGTTGTAACTAAATCAACCTTTTGCATATGTTGGCAGAGGACAGAATTGTACGAATACTCAAGGGTTCTTGGAAATTCTCAGTTTCTCCTACTTCCTTTTCAGCCATATAAGCTTATTTATGCCCACATGCTGGCTGAAGTTGGAAAAGTTGGAGATGCTCTGAAGTAAGTATGGGTGTTGTTCATCTAGACCATTTTTATCTGTAGACTGAAAATAGTCGTTTTTTATCTGCCTCTAGCTTATTACTCATTATGTTTGGTCAGATACTGTCAAGCAATTTTAAAGTCTTTAAAATATGGTCGAGCACCTGAATTGGACACATGGAGACAGTTAGTGTCATCTCTGGAAGAGCGGATAAGAGCCCACCAACAGGTTTTTCTCCAACATTCAGTTCCTTTATCAAGTCTTTCTGTCTATACGTTTTCTTACAGCGACATTTTGTACAGGGTGGTTACAATACAAATTTGGCCCCAGCCAAACTGATGGGAAAATTGTTTACATTATTTGATAGTACTGCTCATCGTGTGGTCGGAGGCCTGCCTCCACCTGTACCTGCAACATCACAAGGCCATGCTCATCAACCAGAAGGCCCAAGTGTATCCAACAATCAATCAACAATGGGTATGTCTTCATTAATGCCTTCAGCATCAATGGAGCCAATAAGTGAATGGACTGCTGAGAGCAATCAACTGAATATCCCCAATAGAAGCATTTCGGAGCCAGATTTTGGGAGAAGCCCGGGAAAGGTAGATAAATGTTTTTGCCATTAGACCTTCTTTTGACCAACCGTGTCATGAATTTCTATATATATATATATATATATATAATTTTTATTTTTTTTAGGTGGGGGGCGTAAAATTTGTCTCAATCAATCAAAGAGCAAAAAAAATTAGTAATCCACTTAGCTTCACACATTGTGCCATTACGGTATTGGATAAGTAATTAAGGATCGGACAAATTTTATAATTTCTGAGTTACTAGTGAGATCAACAATTTAAACTTACAAGTTGTTTTTTAAAAAAACAAATGTTATAAAATATGGAAGTTTGTGGTTAGATTATGGCCTTTACGAGTAAGCACGTCTATATTTTCTTTTTCATTACTGTATGTTTCGGGGTTATTGGGAGGTGCTCGTGCATATTAAGTGAATGGACATATAGACGAAATATATAAAAAGTGAATGTAAAACATCAGTTACATGCATGAGAAGTTAGAACCTTGCTCTTTTTAGATTTGAGCAGAAACTGGATTTCAGTAGCTGGCTTGTGTTTTACTGAGAGAGAGAAGAGAGACAGAGGCAGAAAGAAATTTACAGCTTATTTGGTGTTCAATCAGGTTGATGCATCCAAGAAAGTGGACTCTTCTAAAACACAAGAAAAGGCATCAACATCTCGTTTTGGTAATTTTGGCTCACAGATATTCCAAAAGACTCTGGGATTTGTCAAAAGATCCCAGTCAGATCGGCAGGTACATAAATATTATTGTTACTAAGTTTGAATGAGGGGATTTCCTTCGTAGAGATTATATTATCTCAGTTTAGCCTCATAAGTTGTCCTGTTTTTGTTCTTCTGAAGGCTAAATTGGGTGAAAAGAATAAATTCTACTACGATGAGAAACTTAAGCGATGGGTTGAAGAAGGTGCTGAACCTCCAGCCGAGGAAGCAGCCTTACCACCTCCACCACCAACTGCAGCCTTCCCGAATAGAATGCAAGATTACAACATAAATGACGCACTGAACACCAAAAGTTTCGATGCAGTTGCTGGGCCACAAATCAAAAGCCCGGTGCCCCCTGAGCAGAGTTCAGGAATACCACCCATCCCACCCAGTTCAAACCAATTCTCTGCACGTGGACGTACAGGTGTTCGCTCAAGGTAGACTCCTGGATTCTCTTTCTGTCTCTCATTGTTGCTCTTCATTGTATTTTTTCGACAAGAAGTGTAATGTCTCTTAACATACGATTTATTCAAATTTTCTTAGGTATGTTGATACATTCAACAAAGGTGGTGGGACCCCAGGAAACTTATTTCAGTCACCATCTCTTCCATCTGCTAAACCTGGGGTTGGTCCCAATCCCAAGATGTTCATCCCCACTGCTGTAACTTCTTATGAGAAGACAGTTCAAACACCTGGAGAAAGCGCGCAAGAGCCATTGGTGACCATCAAAAATCCCCCAAAATCATTTCAGGATGTATTCCCTACTCCACAAACATCAACATCATCTTCAATGACCACTATGCAACGGTTTCCTAGCATGGACAACATTGTACAAAAGAGAGCAGGAGAAATGGCAAATGGCAGTAGCTTTGTTCCCCCTGAATCGCGCCGTGTAGCATCATGGAGTGGAAGCCTTAATCATGCTAGCAATCCTTCTATGAGGAATGAAATAAAGCCTCTAGGAGAAGCACTTGGTAGGTCTCCATTGTCGCATATGCGTAGTGGTCCGCCATCATTGCAGTCTTCAAGAAGTGGTGGTAGTTTTGGAGACGACCTTCATGAAGTTGAACTTTGAAGTGTTAGGGAATAGTTGTAAATCTATAGAAAGTGCTGCATTAGACAGGGGCGGTGTCACCTGATCCTTCTGCAAGTTCGGTGATGGGGACGACACAGATGGGGAGTTCAGGTTTTTGATGAAGCCCCTTTAACCCCATTAGAGGAATTACATATATACCTGAAACCAACAATTAGTTTGAATGATATGTTGCCTTTCTAGTAAAAGAGGCTTTTGTCCTTAAACCAGAAAGGACATGCGATGGCATTCTGTACAGGCCAACAGATTGCCCCGAGGCAAGCGAAAGGGGCCTTGAAACAGAAAGTAAGCAGCCCTTGTACCAATTTGGGAGGGAAAATTGCTTAGCATATTTGCAAATATAAGATATACCATTTCTCCCATTCACATATCTTATTCAGAATTTTGTCGAATCAATAAATAACATTGAAATTAGGGTCTGAAAGTTCTTGTTTAAGATTTCTCCTTTCATTTACCCTTATTTCTTCTTGTCACAAATGATGACAGGATTTATATTTGAGACGGTGAAGTGATTCCTTAAACTTTTGTTATCATATACTTTTTCCTTTATGGATCAGGTGCCCGTGTATTTTTTTTCCCACATCTGCAATGTGTGAGTTTATTTTGTCCCAAATTAAAGTGACATGTCTCTGCTTCTCACGAAGGTTCGCACTCGAAGCACTCAAGTCCAACAAAGTCCCAACCCTTTTCTTTTTGTCTCTCTCCACAGCCTACGAAGTTTCATGAGTTGTAATAGTCTAAATAACTTTTAAACATTGCTCACCAAAAGTATATGAACTTTTCTTGTAATCCAACCTAGGACTTCCGGTGTATATTAAATGCTCTTAACCACTTGAGCTATACACCCCTTGTTAAAAAGGAAATAAACTTAAACATTGTGGAAGAAGAGATTTGCTACTTCATTTTATCTCCCAGTTATAATGTCAAACATTTTCTCAACTTCTTATTACTCTATCCGATTTTGGAAGAGCTCCCAAATAAAAATTCATTATCTCATTGATAAAAATGAAGAAAAATTTGTCAACCATGTTGTCAAATTAATATTTCAGAAAGAAAAAAAAATAAAAAAGTAAACAAAGAGTATGAGTGCAGAATGAAACAATGGGAATGTGAAAATCACTATTAAAAAAAATAGAAAATGATAAAAGCACCAATTTATTAAAATGTAATAAAATAATGGAAAACCGAAATGTCCCCTCTCCCTCTTCTTGAAAAGAAAAGAAAAAAAGAAAAAAAGAAAAAAAGAAAAAAAGAAAAAAAACAGAATAAGTAACAAAAAAACAAACAGAAGCTCTCCTACTATAAAGGGCGCAAACAGAAGCATCCGTTAGCAGAAGAAAAGAGAGAGAGCCAGCCATGGAATACTCCTACCCACAAACCCATCAAGAAGACCACACCCAATACCAGCAATACCAACAATACCAACAACAACAACAACAACAAGAAGCAGCAGCAGCATATGACCCATCAAGAATTCAAGCCTACGACCACTCATATCAATCCTATTATCCCTACAATCATCATCAACAACAATATGAATATGACCACCACCAGTACCAGCAATATTACAATCCCACTCAAGATTACAGAAATTCCTACGACACCACCACCACCACCACCCAACATCAATTCCATCAAGAACCCACTTCGATTCATCCTCCTGGGGTCCCAATCCCGCCTGAACCGCCACACAACGCGGATCCCGGGCAAACCCATTTTCAAAATGCGTATTATGCACATGGGGTTGTTGAAGATCAGCAACAGCAGCAAATGAATTCGGGTTCGGGTGAATTGATACCGGCGGCTGTGGCTGCACTATCGCAGCTGACGCAACTCTCTGCGAACATGGATGCGGCGCAGAGGGCCACTCAACCGCCGGTAAGGGGTTTGCTTTGTTGGTTTTGATTGCAATTTTTGAAATTATGCATTTGGGAATTAATGTCCTTCAAATTGTGATGTGTTTCTTTTTTTGTTTATTTGACCAATCTTATGAATCTAATGTTTATAATCTACTTGGAGTTGGCCATGTTTCTAGCATTTGATTTGATATATAGAGTTTGAAAACATTGTTGCAAAATGTGTTATATATTTGATATAAGAAATTCACTAAGAAAGAATTATACCAATGAAGTACAACAAATGAAAAAAATTTGATGGCATTTCCTCAAACCTATCATTGTGTTCTTCATCAAGCTTCCATCAAGCTTCTCTTATCTTTCTATTTTCTTTAATGGCTCGAGCATATTTATAAGAACAAAAAAATAAGAAATAAAAAAAAGTTTTTTTCATCAATTCATGGCCGTTCCTCCAAGCCAAGAAGATAAGCAAAAACTGATTCAAGTTGCCAAGGACACATGCATGTGAGTTGACATTTTGTGTGTGCTCGTGCTTTTCTTTTAAACACTTGCTGAGGGGATTCAATCATGGTAAAACAGTAAACTCGTCTGCAAGAGGGTGGTTTAGTGTCTTCATGTGTGTGTGTTTGTGTATGTGCTTTTCCTTATTATCCCATGAAGGATATGCCATGTCGAAGCAATAAACAATTCTATAAGAGAGTGTATTTGACATATATCAGGATCTCTCTTAGGTATGGTATCGTCTTCCATTCTTCCCCAAAATTGCATCTCAGGATGCTTTTCAGAAAACTAGTGTAGCCTTGACGATGTTTTGGATTTGATATTTTGCTTTAAGAAAAAGATATGTAATTGGATATCTCTGTATAACAGACTTTCTTTTTAATTTAGTATGTAATGCATTTTTTAAAATTCTTTAACGAATCTGAGGGATCTGGTTCATAGCTTCTCTATTCAGGTCCCATTGTTTATGTGGTTTGCTTTTCTGGATTGAATCTTTATTCATGTATTGCCTACTTCAATCTGTGCAATCTCTTATCAGAAATCACTTAACGTGTTCGGTCGGATTGATTTTAGCATTCAATTCATCTATATACTTTCCATTCTATCTATATATTAAGTCTTATCGTCATTAGTGGTTTATATCTATCTTTGTGCATTTTATTTCAAAATTTTCATTATTTCTGTTACTTTTTTCTGTTCATGGTAGCATTAGCAATAAAACCATTACATGGATTGCTTTATCCTTAAATGCTATTCTGCAGATTGGGCAAACTCCATATAGAGGTGGAGGTAGGAGGGGCAATAGGCCCTTCCGAGGGGGTGGTCGGGGCCATTTTGGTTACCATGGTTCTAGACCAGATGGCTCAGCCCGCCCTTTCCGCGGTAGGGGACGTGGCCAGGGTGGTGGTAGACACTTTCCACAGTATGGTGCTGCATCAAACAATCTAAATTCAGCATCTGTACCTGCTGAAGGTGTAGCTGCTTTAATGCAGCCGCCTTCAGCATTGGTTCCTGGGCAGGCACCATTACCTGTACCAACACAAGTGTCTTCTACTTCATTCTGGCGACCTCCTCGTATGGCTTGGTGTGAACTTTGTAGGGTTGACTGCAACACTCCTGAAATCCTTGAGCAGCATAAAAATGGAAAGCGACACAAAAAATATATGCAGGTATATGAGGAGTTGCAGAAACTCAACAAAGTCAAAACTGAACAGCAGAATGCTCAAATGCCTAACACTGAATTAAAACCAGAAGTTGGTCAACCTGTGAAAGTTGAGGGATTTGAGGAAAAACAACCCTTACAAGAAAATCTTACTTCTGAAGTAGTTACTGATAATAATAGAAATGAAACAGATCAGAAAGATACTGGGGCAAATTCTGAAGCTTCTGCAGGACCTGGGAACAAGTCCGGGGATCACTTTGCAGCTCGGGGACGTGGTTTCAAGCGTAGGATGAGAGGGGGGCGAGGGGGTAAGTATATGAGGACTAATGAAGGATCACGAAGACCAGTTGAGCCTCCCAAACCGAAACAAGTGATTCCTTTTATATGTGAATTGTGCAATATCAAGTGTGAGTCACAGGTGGTTTTCGATAGTCATTTGAGTGGTAAAAAGCACCTTGCCACCCTTAAAAGGTTTCATGGCCACCGTGCTTTGTATGGAGAAGTGGGGCTTCAAGCACTTTACCCATCTAACTTCAATGCCGCCTCAACTTCAGCCGCCCCAACTTCAGCCGCCCCCCCTGTCCAGCAAGGTGACAATGATCCTCAAGCCCTCTTGGCCCAATTGTTGATGACTTATGTGCTTGCTCAAACCCAAGCACAAGGGTCATCACCAGCTCCAGCGCCTGCATCTGCAGTTGGACCAGTCGGAACCCACAATCAACTCGAGTTGATTCAAGGATTGCAAGCGATGTGTCAAGATGGGAGCCAAAATGCAGTTATCTTGGAACTCAAACGTCAGCTGCAATGTGCAGCAGCTGGGAACCCAGAAACAAACACTGGGAATGGAACATCAGAGTTTGAAGCAAAGGAGGTAAGCGTTCCTATAAGTATGTCAGTTGTGGCGCCAGCAGAGAATCCAGTCACAAGCGAGCAAGTTTCTCAGACAGCATCAGATAAAGAGTGTGGAGCTGCCTCCTCAGATCCAATTTTCCAGCCAAAAGCTGAAAACCAAATGCAGGAACCAGAGTCCAAGAAAGAAGAGCGAACTGAATAGATGCAGTTACATATTTGTTGGGGAAACCACTGAGCAAAGTGAGGTCCTAAGCTAGGCCCTTCAATGACTGAATAAGATACACTCATTTCAGCCATGGTACAGTTTTATTTTACATTGAACTAAATGGTTATGTTCTTTTGTATAACACATGTTTTGGTTGTGGGACGTTCAGAATTACCCATATGTCTTTACCTTTTGGCTGAATATACATCACATTGGCATCTATCGATTAGCCGTTTTACTGTTTTGCCCAATGGGTATGTTTTGTATGCATGCTGCCTAGTTGAGTGATGCCTCTTTAGTATGGCAAAGTTCCCATTTCTTTTCCTTTTTCCCCGTTTCCACTTGTCTGCTAAGGTTGGCTTTCATATAAATTTGGATTTTTTTTTTACTTCAAACTCATGGACTATTTGCAAATCATCTAACAACAGTTTTTTATGCATATGATATGTAAACAGGAACATATCAATTATCTTTGTCGTCTTTTATGTTCGTTGATTATGTTCCCCCCGATGATGCATCCGTGCATACGTTAATAGCTTGTTAGAAAGTTAAACAAATGAAATATTGCAGTTTAAGTGAGTTTAAATTGAAGAAATGGAACATTATTTGGTAGAACAAATTTAGTAACTTTCATTCTTTTCGGACAATGATATTCCTTTCAACTATTTTTTTCTTTAGTATGGCATTGTTTCATAGGGTTTCATTACATGGTTAGTTTGCCAATGTAACGATGTAGCGTGGACTTAGTTTTATAATTTCGTTCAACATATTCCGGCATTCGGAAGAAGACATATTATATAAATACAAAATCATATTCTACCGTTGAGAAAAGAAATATCAATAATAACCTACTAATCTTTTCCATTGTGTATAGAACGGAGTTGGCTAAGACAGGTGTGCCCACCTCCTTGCACTTGAGTTTAATCTTCCTTCTCGACCAATCATACTGTCACGTGTGATAACTTTTCCATTTTGCATAGCGTGACTGGTCGGGGATAACAACACAATGCTATCCTTTTTGCATATAAATTTTTCTGGTACATTAGAATAGTTAGAATATCGTTATGTTGAAAAACAAAAATTATTTATGTATTTATTTTTTTAACATGCCTTCAACAGACAGGTCCAACAAAACGAGCCGTTTTGATGGGAGAGTTCGAAAAGGTTTAAAACGCTGCGTTCTCCTTATCCCTCTCCCTCCCTCCAGCGCTAAAAAATGTATTGTCAGCGACTGGCAGCTCTACCGGCACAAATCGACCTCTTCCCTCCTTTCCCAATCGGCACCGTTCCCAAAGTCCGAAATGCCCCCACGTCCATTCAACTCCCTCTCACCAAAAACAGTAAAAACGGCCCTCGAATAAGGGCAATCTCCACAGATGAAATTCCTCCAAATGCCCTTCGCCGGAAGCGTGACCCCAACTGGAGAGGCGGGTTTAGCGTAGGGGTAGATTTAGGAATGTCACGCACCGGCCTCGCTCTCAGCAAAGGGTTCAACTTTCGTCCTCTCACCGTAATTATCCCCCAACCTCATGCCCCTGATTTCAAAACAACTCAATTTTTTTTCTTTGAAAATATCTTTTAATTTCATTTTTCATTGTGTTTAGGTGTTGAATTTGAGGGGGCAGAAGCTCGAGGATCAACTCCTTGAGATTGCAAAGCAGCAGGTCCTAAAATTATTACTTATTTTTAAACTTATAATCTTCTTCTCTTGTTTTTGGTAATAATATGGGATTAAATAATTAAATGAAGAAGAAAAATTGTAGGAGGCAGATGAGTTTATAGTCGGACTTCCGAAATCGAGTGATGGGAAAGAGACGCCTCAGTCCAACAAAGTTCGTAGCGTTGCTGGGAGGCTTGCTGTTAGTGCTGCTCAGAGGTATAAAATCAAGCATTTGGTCATCTATACAATGCAATGTAGATATGCAAGTATTACATGTATGTATTTGTTTTTCTTTTTTTCTTTTTGGTTTGCTTGCATGAAATGAAAATTTACTGTGCATGATAATATAATCTCTTATTTTGGATGCTTTGCTTCATTCAAAATACCAGGACTGTGGTGTTTTTTTTTTGTGTGTGCTTGAGATAGTGCAATGTTCACTGGAGTTTTTAATTGCAGGGGTTGGAGGGTATACCTGCAGGATGAAAACGGGACGTCCATCGAAGCCATGGATCGCATGATTAATGTGTAATCCTTTCTACCAAATCACCTTTTTCGATGATTGAATACTTTTTGCTTTGTTTAAAGATGGCTATAGATTATCATAATGCATGTTTTCATTTCTTAAGCAGATTCTGTTTGGTTTGAACTGTAAAATGGCGTTTAGAATGTGAATGGAAACAAAATTGAACACAACATGAGCTCATTATGATATTAAAACAAACAAAATTTATCCATAAATTCGCGTCCTTTGTGAATCGAACTTCTTTAACTCTTTGTGAGGCGTGAAAACCTTTAGGTCAGAAAATGTGCAAAACTGAAGAGGTATTAGTTCATCAGATTAGGAGTCTTGTGCTTCATCTTATTTCTATGCTTCCTTATGTAAATTTATTTTTGCACCCAATGTAGGATGTTTTGCCATTTCTTGCCTGAGATCAAGTTTCTTTTCAGGGGCCTCGGCAAGTCTGATCGGCAAAGCAAAGTCGATGCCTACGCTGCCGTGGTATGCAAGAAAATATAATGTCTGTGCGATACGTTGTCTTATTAAGTGTTTTAAGCTTTATAAATTTTTCATCTTTGGTGCATGTATAAGAAGGGAGCAATGCAGTTTTCTGTTCTTTTTTTAGGAGCAATCCAGGATCTAAATTGAAGTATGTTTTGTTATTTTTCTGGTTGCAGATGGTGCTGGAGAGATATTTTTCCATGTCCGGAGAGGGCACTGAGCTTGTGGTACCCAAGAATTTGGATCTGCTGGACAAACTTCGAAGAGGTCCTCCTAAAGATATTGACTTTTACCCCGAAGATTATGAGGATTAACCATTCACTATTAATTCACTATTAACAGTAAAACCCGAGTCTTTGAAACACATTTTCAAGAGGAGCATAAACAAGAGAGAAGAGGCAATGGTTTTGCAATCCCATTTGCGATTAATCTTTCTTTTTTACTTTCCTTCATTCTTTTGTTGGTCATTAAGTGAGCAATATGCAAATATGGAAATCCTTCGAGGGGCATTTGCCTTTTGTAAATATCGCATTATATAAGAATGTTTTCATTCTTATCACCTATTTGTTTTTCGAATTTTCTAGAAGTAATTGCATATAATTTATAAAGGTAAACTGTGCAGGTATTTTCTTTATTAAAATGAGAAGGGATAAGCAGGAAGAAAGGTGAATGCATAGTGTGTATGAGAAAATACCCTCGCCCGCCATTGTAGTTTAGACTACCGCTTATACTCAACAACAAAAAACCTAGCCACATTTTGCGGCACCTTCGTTATCCAAAGATCAGAAATTCCATTAACAATATTCAGTGAAGGAATTCACATTCGTGATGGATAAATAAATGAGAAGAAATCCAAAAAGAATGGAGGTTTCTATAAAGCAATTTCCAGTTTCAAGACACCAAAATCATCGTGTATGAGAAAAAATTATCAACTGAACTCGAAATGCATCCGCAATCTTGCGGTGTACATATTTCAAGCACATCGCCATACACAAAGTACAGTTGAATATTTTTATGATCCTAATCCCAACACATTTCTGTTACTTCACAAAGTATAATCATCTAACTACTGACCCACCTCTCTCTAGTGCTAGGTAAATAGCTAAGCTACACACAATCTACAGTTTTGTTTTTGATAAGTACACAAAATCTATGCTAGTCAGATGATATCAACCTGACTTTGACGTAAACATGTGTACGATTGGTATAAGATTTATAAACCTATTTGTACAATTGGTTTAAGATTTTTTCAGCTGGAATGTTCGTTTTCAGTGCAGTGACCTGCAGAATCGAGCCTGAGGGCTGACCCGGAGAATCGGATATGAGCCCGTTTTCAGGTTGTTCCTGGTCCCCTCCACAAGATCAGCCTTATTGGCCATCCTCACCACTCCGGGGTATAAATATATATCAGGAAACTTCCGATCACATGACGTCAAGATCATCAAGCAAATTCGGCTACAAATGTGAACTTGGAACAGTTGCATGATAGGTGAAAATCCAGTCTTTAACGACAATACGGCTGCACCTAACCTGTGACTGATAAAGTAAAAAGTGAAGATTAGATAGTTACATTGTGGTTAAAGAATACCTTAATCACAAGAGTACAGCCGATAAACAACTGCATAGGAGGCATACAAAAATTCATGGTGATTTGGCTGTTGCTGGACCTTCCTTTTTTCTGGACAAACCCTGTAGCAGAACCGTACAAGGAGACTTCATATCCGCACCAAAAGTGTGGGAGGCAATCTGCGGTGAAAATTACAGATCCATTTTACTAAAAAACACATATAGAGAAATTTAGCAAGAAAAATAAGAAATTTCCTATAAACCAAAAGAAAACAATTACAAAAAGGGGAAAGACTCTGCATGTGTGGGAAAGCTGCTTAACTATGTAAAACAGAAACAACCATTATAGAAAACCTCCAATATAAAAGCACAAAATCAAGTAAACTTACGTGGTTACCCATACATAATTAACTAAAATTTAATCATGCTTAGTGCCAAAATTAGGGGTCGCAGTTTTCAACCCAACAAGTTAAAACGCCACAAACCCAACATGGAATTAGTAGGTTAGGGTCACTACAACTTGACACAAACTCCATTTTAAGATGCAATACCTTTTTCTGAAGCCTAAATGGTGCACCTTCAAAACTAAAAACCAAGCAACAATAATCTTTGTACTGTTGAAATTTCTATTTTTAAATGAATTCCACTTGGAACTTCAATACTTTCCACCTCTGTTAGATCCACTAAAATTTTAGTCATCAATAAAGTTCCAAAACCTCTGTATCACCTAGGAAAGTCATTTTGCATCTTCCAAGAGTTTGTCTGTGATGTAACCATTCAAAGCAAAGGGGTGGTATAGCTTCAAATTTAAGCAAAATGATAGCAAATGTCGGTACACAAATATTTAGGTCAAAGAGAGTCAACAAAGGACAGAGAGAGAGAATCAAAACCAAAGATACCTACCATATTGCAACCTCCAGTTCGCACCAAAAGAACACCTTAGCTTGATCAATGATTTAGATTTCCCCTAGATTAACATAAGACTAATCCGATTGAAATTGTCAATTCACACCCACCATCCACAATAAAAGAGAAAAATCAAAAGAAAAAAAGTGAAGCAAAAGAAAATGTCAAACTCTAAGATTACCTTCAAAGGCATACAACTTTCCACGCTATGATAGATCAATACTCGGGATGATTTTAGAAAGCAGTCTATATGAGGGCCTTGAACATAAATCACCATCATCACTGGGAAGAGAAGCAAGCTCATTCTCCAAAATAGAATATGCTTCTGAAAATGCCTGCATCATCCAACGATAGTCTTGAAATTAAGAAACAGACATATGTAGCGGCTAGCTAAAGACAAACACCAGGTTATCACATAAGCCTTGAATATATCTGAAAAATATCAGGATAACTAATCCAAAAAGAACACAGCTTACCTTGATACACTGATGTATCCGGAAGCAATTGCGCCCCACATTATTAGTTGGGAAAAGAGGATCATCAATGTGTATTGGGTCAATGCTACACGGAGTAGAATATCAAGATATAAGCAATGGATGAAATTTTAGAAATTCATCTGTCATGCACGAATAACAAAAACAGAGGGTGATAGTATTACCTGCAACCTCTTTCCCTCTTAATATAAACACCACTTCCTTGTACTGATATACGCATTTGGCGAGGATCAAACACATTCCTGGAAGGGGGAGAGAGAGAGAGAGAGAGAGAGATCAAACGTCAAACAATCACTACGTAATTTAAATCATATTAGAATAAGCTAAACAATTTTTCCCTCATAGTAAAGTCAATTCCAAGAAGCACTTGCACTCCTATATCATTAGAAAAAGAAATAATAATCCTTATTAGTGGTTGGCTTACCCAAAAAAATAAAGAAAATTCATCAGAAGGTTTCCAAAGTTCTGCAAGATTATTAATGTAGCGGTTAAGTGAAAGCAATCTAGTAATAATCATCAGCAAAATTGAGAAACAAAAAAGGGCAAAAAGAACAAGATTGAATGAGAAATTTGAACTTAACCCAGCCACATGAAATTTGAATATCTATACAAAATGCAAAGGATACCTCCATTTCTAACTAAGTGATGCACACAATTGGGTTTTCTTGAGATTTAGGGAAAATGAGACCCTCAATTAAATGCAACCACGCAGAACTTCAATAATGAACAGTACTGAGAGGAACATTCAATCAATGCACATTACTTGGATATTCAATTAGAAAAAAAAAACCAAGGTATTACCGATGTCACATTAATTTGATGCATGTCTATGGTGTTCAAAGGTCCTCCACAGTACTTGTAGAATATATCATCCCAGGGAAAACATAACATACTAACAAAGCAAATTAGGCTTGAAAATCGAGATTTACTTGGTTGATAGGTCGGCTAAGATGATATTCGTGCTGGAGAAAACGTACAATTAGTAATACCTGAAACAAAAAGAGTGAGAAACACAACTTATTTACTGTAAAGGATATACTTAATTATTTGCATTTTTCTTTTACAAGAAAGATGTCTAGAAACAAAATCCAGGTACACAAAGCAGCCAACTTCCAACATTTAAAATATATTTATGTAGAATCACTGGTTACAAAACACAATAGTTATGAGGAGCCAATGCAACTGTCCACCTTCCTCCAACAGTCAATAACAGCATGTGACAGTAGGTTGTTACGTGCATTATGTTTAAAAGTTAGGCAATGACATGGATCAAGAAAAACTGCCAAGCCAATACATGCAACGTGTTGCTTGAGTACTCTTGTCATGTTTATGCTTCCTATACTTTAGTCATGACTGGTCATCAAACTGCACTTTCTATACGTTCATAATGCATTATAATTTAGGCCTTGATCTGGATGCTGCCAGATTAAAGCATCAAATTTTCAATACTTTCTTATGGAAGCATTAGAGATCTCAATTCTATTAGCAGCCTGCCTAAAAAGAAGTTTTAAAGCACATTCATTGAGAACGCATAATGTTCCGCATAACATCTGTCCCAACTGGAACATGGTGAAATCAAGAACTTCAAATCAAATTATTTTTTAATATTAAGCCTTGGAATAAGTAGCATTACTCACCAAACAATAGGAACTCAAGCCACCAGAGTAAGACTGATCCAGGCTTCGATCTGCCAAGAACTGTTTCAGAACCAAAGCAAGAGGTGCAGCAGCTGGAAACTGCTCTGTTAGATCCTTAACCTGCAAATGACCAACTACAGTTCATAAAAGATAAATAAAATATAAATGAAACATATAATAGTTTTCAACATGAGCTATGAATGTAAACAAAAGAGCATAAATAAGATATAAAGAATGAAACATATAATAGTCTTCAACTTGAGCTATAAATGCCAACAGAAGCCCCTCAATAAATTATATTAAAAAAATAAATTAAAGAAAAGCCTAAGGGATAAATCACAAAGAAAAGAAAATTGTAGACTATCCAAAATGGTAAGAATAACAGAGATATTTAGTGGCACGAAAGTTTCATTTAATTTATTCTCATATGCAACAAATATGCAAGAGACCTATAACAACAACAAAATATGGTTGCATGCTTCTGGATAATAAAATTTTAAACTATAATTAAATGCCTCAAGAGAAGGAAAAAGAAAAAAAAAGGGCCTCCCTGAGATTCAAAAGGACTGCACAGAATAGATGCTAAAGGACCCCAACCACAAAGGTCAAATAAGCATAATTTAACCCACTAGCACACAATTGACATGGATTTGCGAACAAATAGCAATTTGCAAGAAACTACCCCGGAATTATGTATCAACAAACATAAAGGCACATTTTAGCACAGATGCAACAATCTAATGAAATTTATTAACACTTAGGTGTTGTCCAGCAAGACTTGGCATTCTGACAGATATCTTTGAGAGAGGGATATTGTGTGTTTGGG